CCTCACACTACATGTGCGCGCACACACACACACACACACACACAATCACACACACATGCACACTCACTACACTCACACACTCTCACACACTCACTACACTCGCACACACACTCAATACACATTCACACTACACACTCACATCATTCAGAGATATTGATGGGTGAGGAAACATCTCAGACCATCTGAGAGAAGAAGACTTCATCTAGAAACCCACAGAGAACCAAAGCACAGCAAACTCCCAGGAACCGCTGTGGATTGGGTTTATTAACTGGTTCTGGGAGGGCAGTGATCAGATGCGTGTGGCTCTGGCTCACGTGTGAGTGTTGATGAGTTTCTCTGTGTGTGATGCTTATATAATGTGAGTGTGTGTTTTACCCGACACGCCGCCGGACACATAGACACCCATCATGAGTCCGGTGCTGAAGCCGATGTGGACGGTCAGCGGTTCACCGAGAGTGTTTCTGCTCAACACCGTCTGAGCCACCGAGCCGCAGCCGAACAGCTGAGACATACACACACACACACACACACACACACACACACACACAACAGAGCAATGAGCAACCACTGACTGATCAACAGAATAACACAGAGAATTAATCATTATGTATACGGTTACACTAAAACCAAACATGAACTATGTCTGTGCAGAATAAAGCAGTGTTTCTGATGAAGGTAAAGATAAAACCAAGCAAAGAAAATATAAGTAATAAATTAAACATAACTCATGTCATTGATAATACAGCTGTATTAGAAACACTTCAGATTTGAAAACAACTTACAACCAATTCCCATTTTAAAACAAGAACGAATATCTGCCAATGGAGTCAGAAAAATTAACTTCATTCAAAGAGAAACAAGTTTTCATTCCCCGCTGACAGATATTTGTTCTTGTTTTGATCAACAATTTTTTTATTGTTTCTCAGAAAACAAGACTTGAATCTTGAAACTAAGTAAATGTATCTTGATTTAAGGACGTTTAGAAAAACATACTGGAAAACAAGAGAAAATACTGAGGAAGAGATTCATTTAATGCCACGACTTCATGAATTGAATAGTTTGTGCTCTGATTTAAAGAGGAACAGTGAGTGAAGAAACCCTGTAAAGCTGCTGTCTGAGCTGAATCAGAGTGAAGGTAGGATGCAGAAACTCACCACCAGCACAAAAGTCCCGAGGAACTCGGCCAGGAACTCTTTGAAGACGCTGTGTTTGATGGCGCAGTGATGCTTCATGATGCTGTGTGTGTGAGTGAGTGTGTGTCTGATGGGACTGAACACACACTGGACGCTCCGCTGCATTAAAGCCTCTGATGGGACGTCCCAACACACGCCATCGATCCACCTCATTATGGACGAATCACAGCTCACTAACACTCACAAACATCAGCTGAAACACTTTGCTGTAGGACTATTTTCACTCGGAAACAACTGGAAAATCTCACAAAGAATTACAAAGAAATGGCAATTTCCTGAACAAACATAGTAAACTGGTGCTTCCGTTTCCTGTGTACCATGCTGCTGAGTGGTTTGTGATTGTAGCTCCGTGTAGCTTTGCTTTTCTGTTGAATCTCTATCTTACTATCACTCTCACTCAATTCCCACCATATTTCTGATATTATCTATAAAACTAATCTGATTCATTTGATCGTTCGCTTTTATTCTAAAACAGCGAATGCAGCGCGTTAGCTTTCTTTAGCCGGTTAGCTTGTCATTCGTGTTTCCATTCACGTCTATTGCTGTTTTCTTTTTTTCTCTTGCTCCGTTTCTTTTCTCTCTCGCGCCGTTTTTTCACGAGTTCATCAAACAACAGTGGTAAGTCAGATTCACTCATCAATCACGGTGAGTGATGGCTTCTTCTCCTGCTATTGTTGTTTGTACTGCTTGCCGCATGTATAGTTTAGCTCTCTCTGTCGGCAACGAGGGATTCACAAGTGATAAATGCATGGAAATAGTTAGGCTGACACAGAAGGTTTCAGAATTAGAGACACACATCCAAACTTTAATTGAGGACAGTATTATTACATTATTGTGAGGGCCCCTGCAAACATGTCCTTGCGGGGCCCATGCTGGCTTTTTGCGGGCTGTTACGTCCCAGTGGTTGTGCCTCCGTGTTTTTGCTTTCTCCGTCTTTCTGCTCTGTCATATTCTTAGGTTCAACCCTCCTAGGACTGCTATTGGTTCAGAAAGCCGTCTGTCATCATTGACGTTGGTGACGTCATTATTTCCGCTGCCTATACTGTTTCCTGCCAGAGTTTATAAGGATGATTGAATGAACGCGGAGCAGACTTTACTTTCCTGTTTTGTGCATTTGTATTATTTAGTTTGTTTCTTTTTGTGGTGGTGTTCTTCTGTTACAGTTTTGAGTTGTCATCTCGATCTTTTATTTAAGTCTTCTATTTTGTATTTCATTGTTTATTGCCTTCGTAACTTATGCATGACAACTTTCTCCTTGCCCCTGGGGAAAACTGGACCAGGTAATATGTCACGTGACATACATGTAGCAACACGTAGTGACTCTGATGTATTAGAAACACTAGTATAGAAGTGAGTGCCACTTTTGTACTTTTTGCTTTGGTTAGTTTAGAGCAGGTTAGTTAGGGTGTGAAAACGCCGAAGACTTGTTTTTTTCTGTTCTCTTTTTCTTTTGTTAGTAGGTTAGATTTGGCAACTTAAGTTAGATTGGTTTTGTTTTCTTCTGTTCTTTTCTTTGGCGCCGCTTGCGTACGTTCTTTCATTGTGGGGGTTATTTTATTTTTGTTGTAATAATATTTTGTTGTAAATATTGTGAAATTACAGTTTTCTCTATTTGTTATCTTGATATTTGTTTATTATTAATATTATTGTTACTTTATGTTTTCCTGTTCTCTTCTCTTCTTTAATTTGCAAATAAATCACCTTCTTTGGCAGTTTTTCGTGTTTTTGCCACCACTAATGTCACAACCATCACAACAACAAATGTTACCCCTTTTAAACCTAGACTTAAAAACAAGAGGTCGTAACACGGGCACAGTGGGCTAGGGCCAGCCCACACCAAACCTAAACAGGCCCAGTGCGGGCTTTCCCAGGCAAGGCCCACAGTTTTGGGCTCACCGCAGCCTCTCTGTGAGCAGCCCACACTATGGGACTGCCCACATTAACCCCATGATGGCCCAGTGTGGGCCAGACATGAGCCTATTAATAAGAATTGTGTGGGCAGTTTTCTTCCTTACCACTAGGGGTGCTAGGGTGTTTTAGGTTTCCTTAAGTAAAGCCATGTGGGTAGAGGGAGTTAGCAATAGCAAGCAGCAGTAGCCAGCATGGCTTACCCGCTGAACACATTGTGCTGTGTCCTGGTTGGGAAATGTGTTGTTTCAAGCCCAGTCTAAAGGAGTTTTTTTTTAAGTGTACATTGCTGATGTTTTTTGTAGAGATGGTACATGTATGTATGGCCTATGTTTGGATTGATGCTAAGAGTTTAAGACCGTGTATTTGTATGAATTTTAAAAGGACTCTTTTTTTGGTGATGTTACCACATCATCATGGTCCAGTTTGAATATGGATTTAACGTTCTTTTCGACATGAAACCATAGTCTGGACTATTTCTGAATGTTCCTGGTTAGGAAAGGTCTGGTGTTTGAGAGCCGTGGCATGTTTTCATTACAAGAGGTTGGATTATTCATTTGTTATCAGTCAACTTCAGCTATGGACAGTGTTTGGACATTGATGTACTACAGATGAGACTTTCGCACACATCAACTTTCACATGACGAAATCCTACAATCTTACATTGCTTTCTTTTGTTTTGTTTTTTTGTACTTTTGTGTATTTACATTTTTTGGCTATATGTAGCTGTATTAACCTGAATTTAATATTTTCTATTTTGTATTTAATAAATACATTGATTTGAAATCCCTTTGACTACTGTACATTTTTGACAATATAAACATTAGTTATGTGGTGACTGCATCCATTTCAGATGTATAATAACTGATTTTCCCCAAAGACTTAAATTATAGTAGCTGAAAAGTATTTAAAGTGAAACAGATGTATTGTTGTAGATCAGGGGTGCATCCTGTTCCTGGAGATCTACCTTCCTACAGAGTTCAGTTCCAACCCTGATCAAACACACA